GTACTAGGGATGTGCGATTTTATCGGTATACCGGTATATCGCGATTTTTTGTTGCCTGATACGTATCGTGATACGGAGACCTAAATACCGGTTTTTAGGTACATATTATAAAGTCCAGAAATTATTCATATATTTGTTCAATCTTCCAAATTACAATTGCAAAAAGTATAAAGAATGTTGTTAAAAGTGAAAAGAACGGCATCTTTCCATCCAAACATGATTGATTTTATATACATAAAAATTTCAAGAATGTAAAATTTTGTTTTTCTGGCATATTTTTTAGAAAAATAATGACTTTTCATATAATATCATTGTAAAAACTGCTTTTAAAAATATCATGATATTATCGTGATATTGTGGGGAAAAACCGTGATATATCGCGATACGAAATTTTTGGCGATACCCATCCCTATCTAGTACATTGACTTTTCTTTATAACTTTTGATAGAGAAAGAGATAGGGTTTGTATATTTCATGTGAATTACCTGTGACAAGAAGTTTACAGACATGCTATGATTTTTTGTCCCTTGACTGTTATGCTTGTCCTAATTTTCAAAAATTTTAACTTTGGTGATTACTTTTGATGTCAATGACATATGATAGGGCATTCATATTTGACACAATATGTCATAATATACAATATGCCATAAATAATGGCATCTCATCTAGTAAGATGATGAAAGCAGAAGACAAGAAAATTCTTTGAATTTGCTTGTTGAATTTAATTTTCATGCATTAAAAGAGATTATTTATTTTGCAGATGTAAAGCAGACATGGACCAACTGTCTTACCAAAGGCCTCATCAATTTTAGAGGTGAGTTGGATGCAGAGTTTGCGTTGAAAAAGAAAACCCATAAAGCATTATGGAAAGAAATTGCTGATAAAATGAAGAACGAGTATGGGTTTACTGGTGACTGGCTTCAGTGCCAGTCAAAATTTAACAAGCTTACTGCCAAATACAAGGCTGTAGAGGATGCTAACAAGAAGTCTGGGGAGAGATGGAGATCCATGGAATTTCACAAAGAAATGATGGAAGTTATGGGTGATGATCCAAAAATAACGCCATTAAAAACAGTATCTGTAGGTGTGAGTAAGGGTGTAAGTATAATTACTAGTGAGAAGGGGGAGAAAGAGGAGGGGCATGAGAAGGTGAGTGGTAAAGTAGGGTGTGAGAAAGTGAAGAAAGTGTCTAAGCGTAAGAGGGAGGATGAGTTGATAGATTTGTTGACTGAGGTGAGGGATGACAGGAGAAAGTTTCAGGAGGAGCAGATCAGAGTAAATGAAAGAAAGCTGGTGCTTATGGAGAGATTAGTGTCTTTGCTTGAAAATTAAGTATGTGTTTTCTCTTCTGATATCAGAGATCAAATTAGTAAGTGCATGTCACTAAGACCAGACCAAAGTCAATTTTTATTTGGATTTTTAATATTTTGTGTTTTGATTTAATATTATATTTGTTTGGAAATTTGCTATTTTGTCAAACATCTTAATTCAAAATTTTGCTTAAATTGTTTCAATTTCAAAATTATTTCAAAAGATAATTTTAACTGAAGGTAATATATTCTTAGTTTATGGTCTATGGCCCTACGGAGAATGTTTATCTCACATACTTTTTCAAAACAATGCAATTTTGTAGAATACATGTATTCCAAAAAAAAAAACCCAATTAAAATTTTGTTTTTTTGTTAAAATAATTGAAAGAACCATTCGCATATATTTTTTTGTTACTTGTACTCTGACCATCATTTTTCAAGGTGGTATAGTAGATAGTTTTGTTGTTTTTTTTCTTTTTAAATTATGTTAGAAAATTATTTTACAACAAACAGACTAAGAACAGGTGTAAATATTGATGTGAATTTATTATTAGTTGTTGATTGAACTTTATACATAATTTATATGCATTCAGTGATGATAAAAAAGGATTTTTCCAACCAGAAATTGGATTTAGCTTGATAGCTACAATTTCAGGATACATCATTCTGATCATTGAAAATTTTTAATGTAAATGTTACATAAAAAGCATTTTGTTAAATTTCAATAAAAAGGAAACATTTGTAAATTTAGCATTGTTTTCTTAATTTCATTGAAGTTTATTATCGGTTGGTAGACCAGAAATACTGGGCTAGGGCATTTCTTTTTACGGATCCACTCTGGTTCAAAGGCTCACCCACAGCTGGAGCATCTGGGAAGATACTGGTATCATTGCACATGTCCAGGTCATTATCATTGTTCTGTAGAAAAAGAAATCAAGTATAAAGAGCAAGAATCATTTTTACATGTGTTTCAAATGCCAAAATTCATGACGATTTTTTTAAGTGGGGGGGGGGGGGGGGGGCTTACGTCTATGCACATATTGTGAAGTGTACAGGCTGCTGTTATAACACTTGGAACGTCTTCTAGTTTGGTCATCTCAAGGAATCTCAACCTTCTCCATTTTCCTTTTAACAAACCAAATGCTCTTTCAATCATCTGACGAGTGTTGGAGTGTATGAAGTTGTACCTTTTGTGACACTCGGCCAGATTTCCTGTATCTTTATATGGTGTTAAAATCCAACTGAAATGCAATACAAATAACTTATACATAAAAATAATGTACATGATTTTCAAATCAAGATTTGTTTGTAAAATACTGATGCCCTCATGTGGCATCTTATGACAAGGGCTGAATTCTTTCAAATGCATATCAAACTCAAAAGGTCAATGTCAAATGTCAAAAGTGTTGGTACCGAAGGGATGGCCTTGTTACAAGGAATATACATGTTAAATATGAAGACATAATTCTAGCTGTTCAAAAGTTATGACCAAGGTTGAAGTATTAAAAATGGGTCATACTCTTAGGTGAAGGTCAAAAGGTAAAAATATTTATACCAGATGAAAGTCATAGCTTGTACTGTTCAAAAGTTATGGCTAGGTTAAAGAGTGTTATCTTTTTTTTTTGTAGAAGTATGTCGAATTCCAAGTTCAAGAAGTCAAATTTGGTCTTGTCAAAGGGAATACACCTGTGAAATATGAAAGCCATAGCCCTACCCACTCAATAGTTTATGGGCTAGGTTAAAGTTAACTACAGACAGACAAAAACACTATATCACAGGATCTTTCGATCCAGGGACATAAAGAGTATAATCTGCCCGTTTATTAAATGAATGTTGATTTTAATAACCTTTGCAGTGGATATGCTGCATCTCCAACAATATGTGTATCGCCAGGAAAGAGGTTTTCGTTGGCTTCATAAAGGGGGGAATTTTTGAAGACCCTTGCATCGTGTACAGAACCAGGCCATCCGGATACAATGTCCGTGAACCGCAAAGTATGATCACACACTGCCTAAAAAGTAAAATGAATGGATTACTACTAGTAAATCACAGGAATCATGGAGGCAATTAGTCTTATTTTTAAAACCGAATTATATGTTCACCTGTAAAATAACCGAATAGTCCCGTTTCCTATTCAGATAAGACATGGGATGGTATTTTTCTTGTGGAGCTTTTATCTGAACGTGACATCCGTCGACAGCCCCTAAAACTCGAGGGAAACCCATGAGGTTTTCAAAGCCTTCAATGACTTCATTTGCCCTAGCTCCTGTAACGATAAATTCCAGTTTTATTATTTTACTGAATAATTAAAAAAAAAAAGGGGGGGGGGCACTTGGACATGCTCCGTATAATTTTTAGATATATTGTTTACTGTAGAAAAGAAAAATACTTTTACTTCCCCCAATGATGTCATATTTTTTGTGAAGGGTTTTTTATTATCATTGCCGGCCCCTTATTAAAAGTTGATAATGAAAGCTTATAAATGAACACCTATTATTACACACACACACACACACCCTCACAGACATATGCACTAACCAGTAGGCCACTTGATTTTTTCTACAGAAAGGCATTGTAAAGCGGTACATGTCCTCATGAAGCATCTGTACACGGAGGAATAAGTGACATTAAACCTGTCACTTATTTGTCTGTATCCTTCCATATTTGCCAACATCCATATAGAAATCATTACTTGTTTGGAAGGTTCAATGATTTCTCTGCCATGAACATGTTCTTTTGGGATGTGGCCTGTTGACAGTATCTGTTAATTAAATAAAGTTTACTTCAATGATATTTTGGATTTTTTTTTTTGAAGCCCCCCCCCCCCCCCCCTTCACCATATGTGTACCTAACCGTACATAAATTTCATAACCGGTTATTCATTTTTTTATTGATGACAGTATTGAATAATAAACGTGTCGATTTTTAAAAATACTATAGGATATGATCAAAAGTACATTTTATTATATTATGAAGGGGGATAAGTGCATCGCCGTAATCAAAACAAGTTTGTGTAAAGAAGTCATAGTAAGCTAAAATATTATCACAGTATAAATAATCCTCGTTAAAAAATCTTTTGTGAAAGCTAAATATGACATATGGTATTACTAAGTAAAATATAAAAATATAAGATTTTTAAGTGTAGGTTCAAATGAAATTTGTTATTTACGTTCAAATTCAAATAATTCGGTTATTGTTTTAAATCTTTGATATTTATAAAACACGATTTATTTAAATTGTGAAATTTACAGGAAAGTCCTATCTTTATATAAAGAGGCAAAACAAATAGAAAGATCTTTTTTTTTTTTTTAAATTTTAGCTAGTCTGAACTTATAAAAAATAGGCCATATATGAAGTTAAAAACAGAACTCTTCTACACATAAACATAAACATTAATTGCGACGCTTGGAAGTTTATTTAACGAAATGTTATATGACTCCACTATACATCCATGGATATAAGATACTAGAAAATTAAATTTCAATTCATATGTTGAATCGATTTTTAATTCTGCGCATCTCGGGTACTCTTAATGGGGCGCAATTTTATCTGTTTTATTATTTTATTTTTCTCGCATATAAGCGATCGCAATTAAGTTCTAGAATGGACACTTAAATAATAGTAAATAAAGCATTTCATAGACTTTTTGCAATAAATCCTTTTTTTTTTTTTTTGCCTAGAAGAATTTGTGAACATTACTAAAAATTTTAAAATATATCAAACAAAGAATTTTAAAACGGTTATCAAACTCAGCTATTGAACGCAGCCCTTGGGCAGATCGATAGACTTTGCATTGGAAGCATTTTATATATGAAATGGTGTATTTTCTTGAGCGATTTATTAATAATTTAAAGCATACCTGTCTACAGACTTCCTCAAAAGTCTCTCTTCGCATTCGAAAATGCGAGGAAAATTCATCTGGGGAGTATCCTGGTATTGTTACGTTGAAATAATCAGAAATACGCTGTCGGCTTATTCTTTTTTCTGACAAGAGATGACGTATAACCTCTGGCGTAACATCGTCGTCACAAACATTCATCTCATCGCTTTCAAGTTCTTGAAGGAGAAATATCTTTATTATGCGAGTGTTTCGCTTGGATTCGCATTCCTCCATATTTAGTAATTGTGACGTTACCAACCGTTCCATTAACGTCACCGTTTCCAGGTGACGTCGCCGAGAAGGCAACGTTAATGGAAAGCGCCCTTAGTTTAGCTTTAGCGCTTTCATTTCAAATCTTCAGAAGCTTTATAATACGTAACATAGCAACATAACGTCATAACGTCATAATAAGCGGAACATTACATACAAACGTCTATTGTGACGTCATAGTCAAACTGTGCGGGAAAACTGTAGAATGAAAATAATAAATACAATTTTTACAACGATTATGCTCAATTGTTCAGTCTAGGTTTGAACACATGTATAAAATGTTTTTCTTTCTCACGTCTCTGAATAACACTTTCACTTGAAAGTTTGTAAAAAGGAAATATTGTGAATTGTTTATTTCCACAAGTATCCAAATGTTCACTCAGAGGGATTTGCCGATATTCCGGAGAGTTAATATGTTGTCGGTGGACACGCACCCGGGCACGCAATTGATTGCTCGTTTCCCCGATATAAAATTCTTGGCATCCAGCACACGTTATTACACAACATATTAACTCTCCGGAATATCGGCAAATCCCTCTGAGTGAACATTTGGATACTTGTGGAAATAAACAATTCACTATATTTCCTTTTTACAAACTTTCAACTGAAAGTGATATTCAGAGACGTGAGAAAGAAAAACATTTTATACATGTGTTCAAACCTAGACTGAACAATTGAGCATAATCGTTGTAAAAATTGTATTTATTATTTTCATTCTACAGTTTTCCCGCAAAGTTTGACTATGACGTCACAATAGACGTTTGTATGTAATGTTCCGCTTATTATGACGTTATGACGTTATGTTGCTATGTTACGTATTATAAAGCTTCTGAAGATTTGAAATGAAAGCGCTAAGGCTAAACTAAAGGTTTTCGTGCTTCTTTTTTAAAAAGATTTACCTATATATATATATATATATATATATATATATATATATATATATATATATATATATATATATATATATATATATATATACTGACGTTGAAGAGGCTGTATTTTTTTTTATTCTAAATGACGCATATTTCATTTGTAGTATATTTTTTTTCTTTTGATGTATATGACTAAGTTTACATCTGACTAATATTAAAATGAAATAGATTTAAATGAATAGTTTTTTTTCGGTACAAGAAAGACTCTCTCTATTAATACTAGTATCCATCAGAAGTATTTCGTTCACTGCGAATGGGTATTGAAAGGTCGCATGAAAGGTCCGACTATGCTTTACTTGCATTTGTGAAGACTTTAATGAGCTACAAAATAATCTCGTCTCATGCAAATGCGGCCAGATTGGGAGAGGATCGTACATTTTGACAGTGGTTAGCGACGTTCCAAAGTTTTCACTTTAGCAAATCAAAGTTCCAAAATTTTTACTTTGCTTCTCTAGTTAATTATATTAAACTATAGAAAACTATGAAGTTTTCTTTAGTATTTTTTTGTTCGGGACATGTCCGTTATCTAACATCAGCCATGAGTGAAACAAACTGTCTAAATTTCAGACTTATATTAAGCAGAACCGACTAACAGGCGGTTATAAATGGTACATGTATACCATTCTTTACTGACAATTGCAGTGAAGACAGACTGAAATCTTTCTGGTTTGGAATAGAATTAACAACTTTTGAATAATATAAGACATTATTGTTTCTAATTATTCTAAACATAAAGTACAAAACTTTGATATGCTTGGACTTTTGTTATTTAAAGCATATGGTATTCTTGGCGCTACATAATTTGATGTTAAATCGATTCCACATGGTCACTAGCTCATTTGATTCTATACATAACAAGAGGCCCAGGGCCACATCGACTCACCTGAGCACATCGACTAGGAAAAAGCACATATCGGATAAAAACTGAAAGTTTACTGGGGGAATTTAACCCCCATGGGTGTCATGATTTGAAACAAAATAGAACCTACACTACCTGAGGATGTTCCCATATAAATAGAAAAATATCACTTATCATGGCTTTCAAGAACTTTTAAAGAAGATTTTAAAAGGTTTCCCTATACATCCCTACGTAAAACTTTGGACAGCCATTTTGGGCCCACCATAGCCCCAGGGGTCATGATTTGAACAAGCTTGAATCTACACTAACTGAGGATGATTCCACATAAGTGTAATCTTTCCTGGCCCAGTGGTTCTTGAGAAGAAGATTTTAAAAGATTTTTCCAATATATTCCTATGTAAAGCTTTAGTTGGCCCTTTTGGCCCCAACCTGGCCCCGGGGGTCATGATTTGAACAAATAAGAAATCTGCACTATCTGAGGATGAATCCACATGTGTTTCATCTTTTCCTTGCCCGGTGGTTCTTGAGAAGAAGATTTTAAAACATTTTTCCTACATATTCCTATGTAAAACTTAGGTCAGCCATTTTGGCCCCCCTCTAGCCCTGGGGTTCATGATTTGAAAAAACCTTGAATCTACACTACCTGAGGATGATTCCACTTGAGTTTCATCTTTCCTGGACCAGTGGTTCTTGAGAAGAAGATTTTAAAAGATTTTTCCTATATATTCCTATGTAAAACTTTGGTCGGCCATGTTGGTCCCAACCTAGCCATGGGGGTCATGATTTGAACAAACTTGAATCTACACCACCTGAAGATGATTCCCAAGAGTTTCATCTTTCCTGGACCAGATATTCTTGAGAAGATTTTTAAAGATTTTTACTATATATCCCTATATAAAACTTTGGTTAGCCACTTTGGCCTCACCCTAGCCAAAAACTTGAAATTACACTACCTGATGATGATTCCACATGAATTTCTTCTTTCCTGGACCAGTTGTTCTTGAGAAGAATATTTTTTTATAAATGCTATTAATTTTTAACAAATTCATATTATCTCCTTTTGGATGAAGGCGTAACCCTTCATCTGAAGAAACTTGAATACCAATGACCCAAGGATACTTTGTGCCATGTTTAGTTGAAATTGGCCCAGTGGTTCTTGAGAAGAAGATTAACATGTGAAAAGTTTACAACAACGACAACGCCGACGACAGACAACGGACAAATTTTGATTAGAAAAGCTCACTTGAGCCTTCGGCTCAGGTCAGCTAAAAGTAGCACAAATACAAGGAAAGAAAGAAACACGAAAGTCTTTCAGTGTGCTGTCTAGTTGGCAAAAATAAGCACGAGCTAGATTTCTTATTGCAATGACATTTATTCAATTTTAATTTTTTTATTTTGTTTTTTATTTCATTTTTTATATTGTTTTTTTATCGTTATTTATACCAAGGGGGGGGGGGGGAGTTGAAAAACTCTTAAGTCGAGTTTGTTTTAACTATTTCCAGAAAAAAGTGAATCTTTTCTATTTTTTGTTCATTTTTTTGTTCATATCTAATGGACTAATCAATATACTATATATATATATATAAATTGTTAGTTATTTTCTGCAAAACGACTCAGAATTAAGTAGTTTCTTAGAAATTCAAGTGTATCAGACGTCATTTTGAATCGCTATTTTGAAGTAATTAACAGATCTCTAATTTAAATGACTTAATTTTCAGATTTAAAGTGATCAAATTAGTGTTATTAACCTTTCATAAATAATGTTTATAAAATTGAGGTAGGGGAGACGTTTTCGTTTCTATAAAACCAGTGTAATGAATTTAATTGAAAAGTAATTGTGAATTACATGCCTTTTTGGAAAGTAATTACCGGGTAATTAAATTACCATTACCTGTAATTGAAATTTTGGTCAATTACACATTACTTTCTATTTCATAGCAATTTGTAATTAATTACAGTCAATTACCATTACCCATTACCATTACCCCATCCCTGATAAAAATTTGGTCTGCCATTGTGGTCGCCATTTTCATGAAGGCCAGCATATTTTTTTCGGATTCATCATACACAAAATAGGTAAAAAAAAAAACTAAGCTAGATCAAGTATAATTATTTGCCGTTAGAGGTATTTTTTTTCTACCGGTATAAATCGGACCAGACTTAGCCACTAGAGTCCAAGCGTAAACTCTCAGAGAGGGTGGCATTCCGATTTTGTTGACGTTCTCCCGAAATGGTACTCTCCTACTGACACCATTGTGATCTACCTCGGGAGTTTAACTTCTACGGGAGTCCAAGAGTAAACTCTCAGAGAGGGGTGGCAGTCGATTTTGTCAGCTTACTCGATTTGGAGATGGAATATAATGTACATTTGGACAGTTACATTCGACCAGGTAAGATCAGGTCCAGAATACTGCAGAACAATTTCTTGATTAAGATAATTAATTTTGTCAATGGAAATAGCTATGTAATATATTGACGGTGCGATCGTTAGGGCGAGCGCATATACTTATCAATTTTCATTTAGATTGGACATGTAAATCCGCACGTGACATTATATGTGTATTAGACTCTGACGTCATATGACGTCATTTATGTTGCTTTACCAAACCGAAGCCTGAACAAGGCTGATTTCATTCAGTTTATGACTATCTTTCTGCAATAAAAAGATAAATTATCAAAATCAAGACAAGTTTATTATTCGTTTATCTTGTGTTGTTATTCTCGCGAGAACGTTGCTTTAGAGTTTGTGTATGAAGCGATGTGGGTCTAAATTACTGCGGTAAAAAAATTCTATGGAATGAATGAACAGTAGTCCGAATTTTCTCTTTGCCCAGGCGGGTCATCAGAGCTTGCCGGTACGTGCATCGATCGCTTTGCGACCCTCGCTATTAATCTATTCAAAATAGCTTGGTAAAGCATTTTATATGCAATCAAAAGTCTTTTACAAGTCCTATATGACAATGTATCATGAGTTTAAAAAAATCATAGATACTTGTTTGATTCTAACTGTTGAATACTTTTAATTAAGCAAAAGACGAATTTCCATTTTCTTAACAGCTTGGGTACACTACCGTTATTGGAAGGTAATTTTCAGCACAATGTTTTTGTCTCTACTCTAGCATTTTACAATTAATTGAATGAGTCCCTAAGCAAGACAGTCTACTATTTGTTAATACAAATTAGAGGCGACTTATGGTTTTCGTCGGTTTACTGCATACTTTATTTATTTCATCAACAAAAACAAGTTTCTTTTTTACTTTATA